AGGGGCCTAAGATGGGCAGGGGAAAGCTGGCCTCTTAGGAGGGAGCAGAGGAGATCGGTCGGTGGCTAAAAGTCTCCCCCCGGAAGGGATGTTGTCAGCCCCATTTCCCTTTTTTTGTTCCCCCTGGAGCTGTGTCCAGCTGCCCACTTGCCTTCTCGCAATACTCCCGTCTGGGCCTGGCCTGCCCAGGAGGGACGGAAATAACACCTCAGCCATGCGGACCTCACAGACTGAGACAGCACTCTAGATACCAGCTGTGGGCCCGGAAAGTTCCCATCCCCATCTACTGCGCATAGACTGGGGCCCCCAGTCAGTCCCTGGGGATGAGAGGCTGAGCCTGGGCCCGATCCTGCTCCCACGTGAGACCCTCCTTCTCTTTCCCCAGAGCCGCGGGCTTCCGAGTCGGCCAGGAGCAAAGTGTGGACGGGGGTCATGGGGGCCCTGCTGGGCATGGTCTACCTGGCCGTAGGGCTCTCCCTCTACCTGAGGAGCAAGAAAGGTAAGGGGGCACAGGAGGGCACCTTGGGGGTCACGGCCAGGAAAGAGGCCCATATCCAGCCCCCTCAGAGCTGCTGCTGGGATTCAGTTTGGTTCCTTTCTATGAAGGTGGGGGGACTCTTCACTCCAGAAGTTGGGCCCTCCCCACATCTGAGGCACGTTCCTGGGGGCATCAAGGGACACAGGAGGGGGGTCCCCAGCTGCACTGCCCTCCCATCTCCCCGAAGACTAGGAATCCCTCGTGAGCGAATTGGCTAGAAATGCCCCCTCCAAATCAGTGGCCGTCTCAGTACAGCAGCTTTCCTGGGAAGGCAGTTTCTGTTTGGCAAAAATGGGGGATTTGGACTGAGCCAAGGAAAGACTGCGGCAGCTTTTTGGTTTCAGGAGCCTTTCTGGGTCCAGGAGGGGAGGGTGTCCCTGCGGTGCTGAGGAATGAGCCCCTCCGGCCATGCATTAAAGTCTCTTTCCCCTTCTCCCTCTCTCTCCAGCGTCTGCCATCCAGCAGCCTCCAGGTAAAGCCTCTCCCTGCCTCCTCCCCAGTCACTGGTGCCCTTTTCCATCCTGCCTTTCCCCAGATGCTTGTCCAGAGTGGGGGTGCAAGTCTGAAGGGGGCCCCCCTGGTTAATTGGGGCACTTTTTGCAGAGGTATTTCATTTTCAGGGGTGGGCTGCAGTCGGGGGAAAGAGGTCTGAACTGCAAACCCAGCGGCCAGTGACGGGGCTTTTTTGCAGTGCTCAGACCCAGGAGAGAAGGGCAGCCAGACTTTGCCCCGGCAGGGACTGGCCTGCTCCGCCCTCCTTGCTTCTGCTCTGCTCCTGTCGCACCCCCCAAATTGAGCCCTCAATGCACAGGCTGAGACCCACAGAGAGACTCTTT